TCTCTCTCTCTCTCTCTCTCTCTCTCAAATTGAAATAAACATTTAATTATAAATTATTGGACAGGAATGTAACTTATAATATATAGCGTATAAATTTGTTTGTAAAACCCAATTCCATTCTTTCATAAGATAATAGTATACTTTGTCTAATCCTACTATTGTTTCATTAGTTAATAAATACCAATAAATTAATTCTTTCCACATTTTTCAGATCTATGAGAAAATGTCATTTATTAATAATATTAAATGTGAGTTTGATTAAAAGGGCAATTAATGTTTACTCAATATAAATCATTATTTTATTAACAATTGTCTAAAAAATGTGTGATTTTATTAACAATTATACTGTATTTATGAAATATTGTCATTACATTTGGTTTGAAATACAAACTTTGGATTAAATACACAACAAGTGGATGAACTTTATTTACAAATAGACCATGATAATCATTTGCTACATACAGTAACGTTATAACAAAATTAACTTTCTGTTTTACCGCAATATGTACTATCAAATTAATCATATAATAGTAAACTCGGATATAGAAGTTAATCAGTATATTAAATTAGGCTATTAACCATGCTATATATTTGGCTAATTTAATTAATAAGGTAGGTCAACAATGACCATGTTTCAAATATAAATTTACAATTTTCTAAATATGAATAACATTTAACAGTAAATCAATAATAAATATTAATTAATAAAAACAATACATAAAAATAACAAATTATTGTTTTTGTTGTGAGAAATAGTTATTGAGTGCTCTCTTCGGCGGAACCAATGAGTCGGTGATTCCGACCCTCTTTTTGCCGGTCGTTTGGTCCGACTTTTGGACACTTTTGACGTCAATAAAGTTGTTGTCGTCGTGTCTGAACCGACACCTGTTCCCAAACTTACACTTCTTGTGCTTATGATATGTCCAACAGATCTGTTGAGTAGACTTTCCGCCGCCGCCGTCGGCCGACCGGGCGATCACGTGATGGTCACTCATCTTCACGTGTCTCTCCAATTGAGACAACTCTTTGGTCTCTTCCTCTTTGAATGGATTACTAAATATGGATACTTTGCTCCCAATTATCTTCTCGTCGTCCGCAGAAGCGGTCGATCGCTGGACAGTGAGTGGACACGACTGTAGCGGACGCTCAGCGACGGCCACCTCTTCGTCGTCGGAACTGGAGGTCAGTTCATAATTAGTTGATTCAAAGGGATTGGCCATCGGCTGGACATCGATTGTGTCGGCGCTCTTGAAGTCGACCGCCTGTTTCGCGTCGGAACCGTTGGCAGCGATCTCTTCGTCGTCATCGCTACTGCTGTAGTCAATGCCTAACATGTTGTCCACCGATTGAGTCACAGAAGCGCTTCCATTGCCACCAGATATGAATCAAATGACAGATGAAAGTGAAGACAAATTTAAACCAAACAATCAAAACAAACGCCTGTTTTGTTCAGACCTCACATATAGTGACCTCTCTTTGCATTTGTATTGCATTTCATTATAAGGTGTGAAACAACACAACAGATGGCAGACAATGACAGACAATACACATGTGTTTTGTGTTGTGTTTTGAAAAACTAATTGTAAAAAGTTTGTCAATTTTGGGATCAATTGGTCGACTCTTTCAGACACACAAAAGCACGGATCAGTTGAGGTGTGACTGAACGCAGACATGAAGCTGAAGGCGTTGGAGGCGTTGATGTCTTCGGTGGATGAGTTCGCGGACCCGAAGGTGAGTCACGAACAGTACGCGACTTCAGTGCACATCAGTTCCCGAATGCTGTTCACGATTGACACCACTTTCGATGATCTGCGGGACAAGTCTGTGGCCGATCTCGGCTGTGGGTCCGGACGGCTGGCCATCGGCGCCGCACTCGTGGGCGCGAAGTATGTGTTGGCCATTGACTGCGATTCCGACGCCGTCTCACAAATGGTGGCCAATTTGGCCGACTTTGACGATGACGTCGGCTCACGAGTGGACACCGTTTGCGCCGACATTACGGACGAAGAGTTTTGGCGACCATTTCATAACCGTTTCGATACATGTCTTCTGAACCCTCCGTTTGGGACCAAAAGAAACAAAGGTTTTGACGATTTGTTGATATTTTTATCGATTTAATGCTAAATTGTTTTATGAATTAATTAAGGAATTGATATGATTTTCCTGAAGAGAGCCCTCGAGTTGTCGACAAACAGTGTCTATAGTTTGCACAAGACATCCACTCGACAGGTATTACCAATGTTTTGGTTGCTTTGAGTCGTGATGTGGTTTTAATTATGCATTTTATTTGTGTTATAAATGTTAGCATATATTGAGGAAAGCGAGCGAATGGTCAGTGAATGCCGAAGTATTGGCACAATTGAGGTTTGATTTGCCAAAAGTGTATAAATTTCATAAACACTCGTCGGTCGACATCGAAGTCGATTTTTATCGCTTCCAACACAAACCAACGCCTAAACCATTAGCTCTTTGAATGCGATTATTATTTTTAAAATATTTATTTTCATTAAATTTATTATTTTCTATATATTTGTTAATAACTGAATCTTTAAATCATTAAATCAAATGTTATTTTTGAAATAAATTGTTCTTTATCACTTTTTGTTTATCATTAAATTATAAATGTTTAAAAATATGTAATGAACATAAAACGGGAAATTACCATAATAGTTATTAATTATATTTGCAATTATATTTGTATTTAAAAATGCTGTAAATTCGTGTTTTGATAGCATGTGATAAATAGATTATTTTGATAAATAAGTGATTTAAATTACTTGTATGCCCTTCATGGGTCCAGATTTGAGTGCTTTTAAGTCCATTTATAGCACTAATTGTGTAATTATTTTTATAATTCTATATATTTAATGATAATTTATATATTGTTTAGACAAATCTACCAATATAATTTAGGAATTAAGTTTATTTTAATAAATCATTTATTTAATAAGCAATATTTATCTGTTCTTAAGTTTTCACTATTTTTATATAAATAAATCTGTAATTAGTTTCTGATAAATTGTTTTGCACTCAAATACACTCTATTTTGCGATAATTATATTTGTGATGCATTCGTGTAAATGTTTATCTCACTTGTGGTCATTTTAGACAAGTCTAACGTAATCTAATGTAAATATTAAAAGTATATAAACTTCAGTTTCTTTGCAGATTTATATATTCTTCAACTACTTTGATGTATAAATAAGTTTACTAACAAAGTTGTTGTTAGTGTAAATTATTGTCAATATTTTGTTATTAATTAAGAATTGGAGAGAATATGTCGTTAATATTTTTAGTGATCGTAAGTGTTATAACATTGTCTGCCATTTGGTATAATCGGCGCAAAAAACTTATGAATAAACTGAAACGATATGGTATTCCGGGTCCGACTCCTCATCTAATTTATGGTAATTTCAAAGAATATCAAACCAAAGGATACGCCAAATGTCACGAGGAATGGATCCAAAAGTACGGC